TGAACTCAGATGAATTAGACACTCTTGGGTTACCTCTGCAGTTCTTTTTTTTATTTGCCAGCAAGGGTCACCAACGTTTGCACTAATCAGTGTCCCAGCTGTTCTACTTCTGCATAGTTATTTTTAATTGTGCTGCCCAAACTTGTAATGAGCTGTATTTAAGTTTGAGGTGACGTGTAAAAGATGTGTGTAATAATGACACATTTCCTGTATTTTGTATGTTACAGATAGAACTAGTCCTATGCACAGAGAAAACGTGTTGCCATTTACAGTTTAATACTTGAAGCAACTTTTTAAAACGGGCTTTTATAAAGGAATTAAATACAAAATCATGTTGCTTTGCCTGGAAGTTCCTTCATGTTTTAATTGTATTGTGCATTTTCCCCGTATGTATACTTTTCCAGAAATGTTATCTTAAGCCATTTATAACCATTGAAAGTGCATTCAAGATTTTGTACATTGGTGTTCAGACCTGTTCATACTTCTCTGGAGTACAGTTCATGTTTAAATAAAAAACTTGTACTGTTTTAGGCCTCTTTTCCAAAGTGATGAAGTGTTGAATGGACCCTACGCTTGAGTTCATCAGTGACTACAACATCAAATTAATAAAAGTATGTGAAAGAACTTGAAAATGGCTTGGCGTGGCATGTGTGTATGAGATCGGTTAGAAAAACCACCTGCTTGGTGGGAAACAGAAACGTTCAACACTTTTTACATTCCAGCTGCAACAAACCTTAGACTCGCTTGTGACACATCTTCCACATCAGTTGATTTTGAGAGGGGAAATAAAAAAACCCTGACTTGCAGTTGACTGTGTTCCTTCAGGACACTAAACATGACTTAGAAATCAGATTGCTACTCACACAGAAATTGGCTGTGTTCCTTTTAGATCAGAAATAATCCCTGTAAGAGGGTAGTAGTCCCCAGGTTCATGCTGACATGACAATGACACTGGTATTTAAATTCAATTCTTTCCAGCTTTTTTTTTTTTTTAATGGAACATTTTACAATACTGGGTGAGTTTCAGTCTCATACACCTAACTTTGTAATTCAAGTTCATCCTAGTCTTTGCATGCCCACGGGAACAAACCCTATGTAGGTATTGTCAGCAGCGTGACATATAGAGAGGTGTCCCTTTGGAAGGGGAAGCGACCAGTGGGAGCCACTTGGTGACAGTGCTGGCGCGTTCTGGCTTTCAAAAGGAAAGGGGCAAAGCCATACGTCTAGTTCAGATCACCATCGCTCCACTGGTAACTTGTGCTCTTCTCTGCAAAACCCCTGACCAACAGAGGGCAGGCAGGTGGCAGACACACAAAAAACTGTCTTTCTGAAGAGAGTAAGAAGAAAACACACGGTGTTCTGTAGGGCCACTTTTAATGTCAGATTTTGTATACTGCAGCAAAGTCCCATTTGTCATCCACCCTTATCATACTGAATCACAAATCTACCACAATAGGTGAAGAGCAGATGCCACGGTACTGCAACACACCCACCAAACATAACTACACCGTATCATTCAAGATGTCCATTTTTTTGTCACATTCAGGTGGTTTAAGTCATCCATGATGTATCTATGCACAGGTAACTTGGTTCTTAGGCTTTTGAAAGCTTCCCATCTTGCACGTCTCTCCTCCGTGTTATGTCTGTGCTCCTGCTGCCAGGTCAGGTAAGGCCGACTCAGCCAGTATTCATTCTCCGCTTCAATCTCCAGCCTTCGGATCATCGCTTGCTTCATTGAAAGAGTGACCGCCCTGGGTCGCCTGTACTTCCCAATCCATTGTTTTCCAGGAATTCTCTTTCCAAGCAACACTGTTGTTAAAAACATTATGCCTCAAAATATAAAGAAAAAGTAAAAATAGTTATTACGCTAGGGACAAAAATTAAAACTTTAACAAGAAACATTAAAAGCTCTGCAGGCACTCCACTGACTTTTAGCTGGCTGAAGTTCAGAGAACCTGATTCTTGCAACTAACCATTACCCACAGTAGACAGTACAATGACAAACATACTGGAAACTTAAGACCAGAAAAGGGAAATGGGAATCTTTATTTAGCTGAACACTTTACTCAGTTATCCTTATTGAGATTAAAAGTATGTCCTCCATAAATTACTTACAAAAAATCCAGTCCCAGATACTATCAAAGAAAGGATTCACTTCATTCAAGAGGGACAGAGATCTGCTCAACAGAGTCCAGCAAAGGGCTATGAAGATGATTGGGTGACTGGACCACCTGCCTTATGAGGAGAGGCTGAGAGACCTGGGACTTTTTAGTCTGGAGAAGAGAGGACTTAGGGGGATCTAATTAATGTGTATAAATATATGAGGGCTGGGTGTCAGGAAGGAAGGGGCAACCTCTTCTCACTTATGCCCTGTGACAGGACACGGGGCAATGGTCACAAGCTGGAGCACAGGAAGTTCCACCTCAACATGAGGAAGAACTTCTTTCCTGTAAGGGTTCCACAGCACTGGAACAGGCTCCCCAGGGAGGTTGTGGAGTCTCCTACCTTGGAGAATTTTCAGACCCGCCTGGATGTGTTCCTGTGTGACCTGCCCTAGACTAGATGGTCCTGCTCTGGCAGGGGGGGTTGGACTCGATGATCTCTGGAGGTCCCTTCCAACCCTTAACATTCCGTGATTCTGTGAGTCATTCCTTCTTCAAACAGCTAACTGCGTTGCTAAACGAGGGAGTATTTTCAGGTCTATCGTCTAGATCCAGATACAGCCTCTCCTCAGGATGAAGTTTTGAACTACTGTCTCTCCACAGATTTATTAGTATACAATTACCTAGCCTTGTATTCTAAAGATGGGAAACCTGGTTTGCAGATAAAAACAACGTCCTACGTTAGGCCAAGCGGCGCATGTGGAAAGCACGAACAGTCTCCAGCACAACGCCCCGCTGGAAGGCGGCGGTAGGGAAGGCC